CCATGGCACTTGCGTTGACCTTGATGCTGTCTTCCTTCCAAGGAGTCTTTTAAGTTCAGTGTCTGTGACAAAGTACTGCTGAAACCTTTACTTAAATGAATTTTCAATCACAGGAACCAAGTTGCTCTCTTCCTTTAGAAGTCAGAAACACCTTTTTAAAACGTCTCAACTGCTAATTTTTTTTTTATTGGTGAAATTTATAAGGTGCATCTGGTTGTCACTCATCTTCTGAAGTTGCATGCCTTCATTGTGTTTGTAGTTTTACGTTGCCATTTGAGCATGCTGGCCAGTTTAGTATCCCTAAAGCCTGAGCTTTTGTTGTTCACTTATTTTGCATTTTGGTATTTCTTCCAGAGCAGTGAGCAGCACTCTGCGCTACAGAACAGTTCTGGTAGGCATTGGTGAGCTCCTTTTTCACTAAAAACTTCTTTTGTTTTTAAAGTGGCTTTAGAGAGTGGAGATGTCCCATCTTTAGCAAGCTTGCAATGTTCAGAACAGGCTGATTTTTTTTCTGAACCAAACCTTTGTGAGAGGACAGTTTATTTGAGCAGCTCATGTAAAGATGAAGATGATGTTTACGAAAGGCATTTTTTAAGATGGCTTTGTAGTAGGTGGTCTTTGCAGAGGCTTTCTAACTCCTTGCACTTCATAACAAGAATTATGACAGAATAATAGAGGGAATAATATGGGCAAGATCATGGGAGCAGTCAAACAGATGTCATCCATGTTAAAACGTTGAGGAGCTATTGTGAGGAAATGAAGTTTAAAAAGAAATGGGCACAGCACGGGGGGAGACCTCTGTAAGTATAGTGTAAAAGAAGATTGTCCATAGCAAAAAATTAGTCTTGCTAACACTTCTTCAGTAAGTCTAGCTACTCAGAAGAAATGTAGAAAACTGTCTTTGTGCAATCTCCCCTACTGTGTATGAGAACTACTCTTTCAGTAGGAAGGAAGTTTGTTTTTTTTTTTTTTATAGAATATATAAGGGCAATTATAGAACTGCAATCATAGTTCTTGATTAGACTACCTAACATATGATTTCTAACATATGAAACTAAAATGCATTTTTTTTTCAAGTTTTGCCTTAAAGATTTTTTCAAAAAATGAGAAACTTGCTTTTGGGTCATAGGAGTATGCAGTCTCTGCTTCCCAATAAGCAGTTCAGTCATTTTGACTATTGACACGTGAGTCAAAAGAAGGAAGGAAAATATTCTCAGTGATCTCAAGGATTTGTTTGATCTCTGTAGCAAGGACAGATTCCATAGTGTCCCACCATTTACTCTTTGAAAGAAATGAAACCAATTGCTATTAAAAAAAAAAAAAAGAAATAAAATAATAGACCATCTCAGTACTGTAGTGCTTTGTAATGTGTTGAGATTTACTGTGGTCTTCTCATCCAGTGGGGTATTTTAAAACAATTCTGAAATAAGTATGGAAATAATTTAGAAGAAATACTAGACTTCAGGAGGCTCAGCATCTTTATTGCATTTATTCAGCTCATCATGAAGAGAGATATAATGCCAATTTCTGAAATCCAGAAAAATACGTTGTAATATTACTTTTGCGTTTTGGTGTTGATACAAGCCAATTACCTGTATGCCTAGGTATTTTGAACAAAATGATAGCTGCAACGCAAGGGAATCATGACATTAGGGGGAGGATGGAAATCAACCAAATAATACCAAAATACCTTCAATTTTACTTGTTTTCCTCAAGATTTTTCTCTCCATATTACCACTGAATTCTGGAAAGTGGCTTTTTTTTTTTTTACATCTGTGTTACTGATTAATCTTCTATATAAATCATTTAAAGACATTGCTCAAAAGTAAAAGAGATGTTTTACATTGTGTCACCAATTCCTAGACATATGCTGCTTCCTAGGGAAGGTGACTAAAGTGTGTATGTGGAGACGTAGCCCCACTCTTTCTGTGTAGCTGTTGCATTTCTTTGACCTCTGTTCAGGGTGTGTGAAGAAAGCTGCAAAGTCTATGTAGATAAGATCGTGAGGGATACATGCAGTTTATTCTTGTTCTAGATAAATTTATGCACCTGATTCTTTTCTAATGCCTCTTTGCACATCACCCCAGAGGAGACCTGATATACTGAAAGGTCGGAGCTTCTGTGCCTGTGCAGCTTCTAATCGTATAGGAACAAACAAGACTTTCCCTGCATTTTCAGTTTCTGATTGCTCCAGGTAGGATTAGGGTTCAAAATGGGATCTGGGAAGCTTGTTTCTATTCTGCTGCCTGTTGTTTTGTTGGGTGATGCCTTGGTGAGGTAGCAAAGAAAGCTTTGCATCCAGTTCAGGTGGGCCAAGAGCTAGGCAAGCAGTGCAGCTCCAGGAGCAGGAGTCTTGGCAGCAGATTGGGACTGTCGTTTTCACCTCTGGCAAGGAAGCTCTTCAACAGTAGTTCAGGTGAGCTATCTGGACAAGAAGGATGGGGGTAAGGAAGAGGAGTTATCAAGGTGTCAGGATTTGAACAGAGCATTGGGGTATTGGCCTTGTGGGCATAGGGTAGCAGGAGAGAAGGGCTCTGCACAGCCGTCTGTTTTGTATCTGGAGATTACTGTCAGCAGACTTCTTTGCAGTCTGCTGAGACTGTCCTCCTGTCCTGCAGTGACATTTCAGCCACCAGGTTATAGACCACGTTCTTTGATGACTTCCATAAGTAGCTCCATGTTGGATATGAAAGGTTCCAGCATTTTACATACCAACTTACAAGAGGGTCCATGACACTGCATTGTTGAATTCCTTTTTCATCAGTTTCCTGCTTGCAAAAACCTGGGCAATTAATGTTATATTAAAAACGTAATGTAATTTTTAGTGTTGTGAAGTCAACCACTCAATTGTTCAGAGGTTTGCTGCTTAAAAAAAAAAACAAAACACTTTGGTCCCAGATGCACATTTTGTGTGTTAATCGTGGACGCCTACCAGGCATCCTTCATGTACTGGGCATGGCCCACATGCAGCAACTTTCTAAGTTTCTGCTTGTTCAACAGAAATCTCGGTCTTATTAATTGCACGCTCTTCTTCAATGGCAGTCTCAAAAATGTCTCTGAAAATACTAATTTTGTGGTATTCGTGGTGTCTCTGTGGTGTTACAGATCTGAGATGATTATTTACATACAGGTTTTGAATATTTTGGAGCATTGTGTAGCATTTCCTACGTTCAGTACGTGTTTCCTACTGATCTCAGGTGTGGCTGTGGGCTCTGAAGTTGAGAAACTGAGAAGAAAAAATTATTACTGTAAAGTTTTATTACAAGTGATTTGCTGTGCATCTGTGGTATAGATAGAGACAGGATCCTGTTCCAGGGGCAGTACTACTTTATTACTACTTTAACCATGGGAGCTTCCTCTCCAGAGATATCTGCCTTTCTGATTTCTGTCTTCATTTTCAGTGTGCACCTTCAGAAAATGAAGAAAATATCCTGCTATGGGAGCTTTTCTTCCTCATGGAAGATCTATCCAGTAACTCTGAAAAGCTTGGTGAAGTTCTATAGAAGCATAGCGTAAGCTCGTACAGCAAATGTATTTTGTCTATGCAAAAGTGGCAGAGACCAAGATAACTTTATTCATTTGGATATTTCCTAATTGCTTAGAAACTGCAAGTATATAGTAGTTTATTATTTTTAAGGATGATTTACAGAGTTTCTGGGTGTTGTGATTATTGTAAGTAAAAATAGGAAAATATGCTTTAATCCAAGGTAAAAATACATAAAATGTAATAAAAGATGTGTTGTGAAGATTGACTTGTTCCATGTGTTTCTGACCAACCTGAACTTTTAAAGTTGTCTGTTCTGAAGTGTTCTGTATGTGTACCTAAGATTTTTTTAATAGTGAACTCTTTCATCATCCCTATATTTTCTTAAAAATAAATCTTTTTTGCCCATAGGTTATTTTTGTTTTTTACTTTCCCAGTGCAGATAAATTCATCTTAGAAATAGATTATAGATAACTTAATGGTACCAAATGAGATTTTTTATTTTTGTTTTATTTTTTCACTTGGACTGTTAAGGAGGCTGTTGTCTCAGTGGAAGAATTCAGAAGTGATGAAATGGAACAGGTGATACAAAGTTGATGCGTGGAAGTCCTTAAATGTTTTGCCTGTCTTAGGACTTCTGTAGGACCTGTATACCTGTGGGGAGGCTAGGCTGTATGCATAAGTTGTAAATGTGGAGAATTTGGGAACTAAGGTGCTTCTGGTTTTCCCTACCTGCTTCTTACAGTTGCAAAGCTGCACAAGGGGAAGTGCTAATAAGCAGTAGGAATTCATGATCAGTCTGATAATAAACTGAATTTAGGCTGCATGACATGGGTGCCATAGTGGTGTTTCTGATGCAGTACTCTTATGGAAATGCTTTTTTGATAATTCTGTGTGCATTTGTTTATCTCTTGGGATATTATGTGCTTTATTGATGTTCTCTGCTGGTGTAGTGTCTGTAGTAATGTTTTAACTTTCTCAGATTGTCTAACTGGTGATGCTTAATACAAATTAGTGCTGGGGATTCCTCCCTATGAGAGTGTCTGTGCAAGTCAGTCAACTTTTGATGGGGAAAAAGCACAGCAAATGTGTAACCATAGTCCATTACTTAGTTTAGCGATTCTAAACTTTCAAGGGAGTGCAGTGATAGCTTTCTAATGGAAGACCAAAGAATTCTGATCTAAGTGATTTGGGGTCTATTAAGCATTTTGAGGATTTATGATTTTTATGAATTTATTTTTCCTTTTTATGAATTTTTCCTTTTTATGATTTTTATGAATTTATTTTTCCTTTTCAATTCAGAACTAGGGCTATACCTATTACAAAAAAATCTAAGTGTAGGGAAGGTGTAGGTATTCCTTATTGTTTGATAACTGTGGCAAAAAGGGCCTTGAGAGTGGTGTTTCACATGTATGTTCATATTTTTTCTCTATCATTTCAGAAGAAAAACTGGGTTTAAAATATTTTTTACATGATATAATATATTTTTTTAAAATTATTGTTTCTTTCTGAACAGATACAAGTCACTCAGTTTCCAGTAAATAAGTCGACATCATGTCTCGAGCACGGCAGCCCCCACTTGTAACTGGCATCTCTCCCAACGAGGGCATCTCATGGACAAAAGTGACAATTCGAGGAGAAAATTTGGGAACTGGGCCTACAGATCTCATAGGTAAGTTGAAAAGAAAACTTAGTGCTTTTGAGACTGTAGGACGTCACATTTGTAGAATGTCACATTTAGGATATGATGAGGGATGTGTTTCCTTTGCAAATAACATGGTGAAGTCAATGTTGCATGTTACAAGAAATGACCTTTTTCACAACTATGCACTTGAATCCCCAAGTCCACACCTAGCAAATCATACATACTCTGTTAGACAGCCTGTTAGCCTGACTCAGCATCCTGTGCCGAGCACTGGCTAAGAGTGAATGCCTGTGGGAGTGTACGAGAAGAGAATAGGTGTAATGCAACTCTCTCTTTTGCTACTTACGCAGGCATTAAGGTTTTACAGCAAGGGGACTATTCTATCAGAAGTGTTATTAGTGTATTGAGAAAGTCATTGAGCATTACTATTCCCTGAATTAGTGTAAAAGTCAATTAGTGCACCTGCAACAGTCTGTGACAAAGTGGATTCAGCAATTTAGCTACATGCATTGCGTGAAGAACTCTCCACCTGCGCTGTTTTGATTTTAACATGTTAAATTCTTTGGAAGTTACCGTCATAGTTCTTGCATCGGAAGAGGGAACAAGCAGTTTTCTTTGTGATTCTTCTGACGGTAGCAATCTCGACCACCATTGCTTTCAGTTGCTTCTTTTTCAGGCTAAGTAGTCCTAATATATTTAATTTCTCTGCCTGTATTTTTGACCCTTCTTCTTCCGCTTCAGTGAATCTTTTTCAGTTTAATTACTGATAGCTTGAGTTGGGTGAACAACATTTTGGATACATGCAGTCAATGTTCAGGATATGAATACACTGTAGCATAATACTTTACTCTTGTTTGTGTTTGGTGTTTCTTTCATAGGCTTCTGTTTTCCATATAATTACCACTAAGCACCAAGCTGATTTTTTTCATTTATTTGCCTACTGTAGTCCCATGATATAATGCTTGAGGGTTAATAGTTCAGCACCTGTCATCTGTGAATTTAACATTGATTTTGCATGTGTGCATCATCTCTTTGTTCATTGAATTTCAGCTGCTGTTTTATAGCACCACTCAGTTTCATCAGTTCTGCATTTTGTTCTAGTTTTTACTGTTTTATGTTCCTAATAAATTCATATCATTAGCAAACTTTGTAACCTCTTTGTCTAGTCATTTACAAATATAGTGAGCAGCAGAGCTCCCATCGCATGCCCTGTGGAAATTTTCCTCAGTGAAGACACACCATTTGCTGTAGCCCTGTTTCTGTCTTTTAGCAAGCCATTTATCCATTTGAGAATCATATCCAGTGAATGCTTAATATTCTTAAGCCTTTTGAGAAGGACTTTGTAAAATCTTTTTGAAACCCAAGCTAACTATAACTACTGGAATTTCCCATATTCCTTCTCTAAGTTAAGCATATGTGTACTTCAGCATTCATGCTAGAGACAATCTGTCTAATTTGTTGTGGAATCATGACTCCTCTGAAGTCCATTGGAATTTTGTTTGGCTTTGCTAGAAGCAATACTTCACTTCATGGCTGTAAACCAAGATTTCCAAATTCCATTCTTGGCCACCACAATGAACTTTATGGCCAAGCATAAGCTACTACAATTTTCCCCTTCATTTCAATTTGCTGCCTCTTTTGGAGAGGAAGTAGTATTTTGCTGAGCTGCTAGACAAGATTGCGGTACGCTAAAGAATCTTTATTGAGAAATACTCAAAAACTGATAGTGTTATAGGTAAGTATATTTTTCTGTATTAGTATGGTTCATGGATCTCAATAACCTCATTAGTTCATTGGTATAATCTCTTTGTAAGTGATCAGTGCTAGATTCTTGGAAGGAAGACATCTCCTGAACGGTGTCTCAGTATTACAGCTGATTGCTAAGGTTTTTGGGTTTTGTTTATCTCAGAGTAACTCTTATAACATATAGCTGCTAATAGTCTGACGTTTTAAGGTTATAAAAAAGAGGGTTGCTGTATTTTTTTCCCCCCTTAGCTCATTTGATTATCATCTTTTTCCAGTAAGTGACTAAGGCCCCAGACACGTAAAGAGATTTCTTTTCATGGTTAAATTAGGCATGTAAATAGTCCCTGTGACTTGAATGGAAATACTTGCAAAAGTGAGTCTTCGTAGGCATGCGATTTAAGCAAGTTTGAGTGAGGGTTTTACAAAGTTTATAATCTGCTACTTGAGATGCATTAAAGTAAAATGAAAAGCAAGAAACTATTTTTTTATATAAACGGAATATCACATAATAGGAGAATATGCCTTTTGGTTTCATTTAAAAGAGAGCCTTCTTGTAATCTATTTGTATCTTTGAAACTAAATAAACTTTTTATTTGTAACTCTATAGCTCATGGTACAAAAAGTCAAATCCAGGAGATGCACGCAACATTTATGCTCTCAAGGTTTAGTTTGTCTTATAAGACATTTGCAGCTGTATTTTTGTAGGCATTGTAAAATTGTCGATTTATAAGCTTAGCCCAAATTGGAAAGTCTCATGAGAATTACTTGTGCCTATTTATTGAAATAGGCAGTGGATTGGACTCTCCAAAATACCCTATAAAAACTAGACCCCCAGTATGACATTCTCAAAGATCCTCATACCGTGCAGCAGATTAAAATTAAGTTTTACTGAAAGGGAAGTTCTTTCATTTTTGGAGGAAAAAAACAAAAAAAAAAGTTTATTTTTACTATCTCCCTGAACATGATTTTTTTTTCCCCCCAGAAATTGTCTTGTGCCATTACTGTACTTAGTGAGGCATATAAAATGTTAATCGAAACTTTGGCATTTTTAAGATACAGATAAAGGTAGTTTCCCTCCATTTAAAAAGTGTTGGATTATGTGATCATGTTCTTCTGCTAGCTTTAGGAACCTCCAATGAGTAAAAAATAATTGATAAAAGGATCTTCAAAAAGATCCTAGTTATTGAAAAATTTCTACCCTACTAAATTGCTCAAGCTCAGGTGTTGATTTTAAAGTACTAATTTAAGTATGAACTCAGACCTTTTAAACTCTGGGGTGAAAACCTGTCCTTATGAATGATTTGGACAAACTCTGTCAGTCTTATTTTGTGCTGTAGTCTTTTTCTTCATCAGAGAGATGTCTAGCATAACAACAGAAAAGGCTTAGCATAGTCTAAGGTTAAAACATACGCATCATAAATGTGTGGGCTTTTTCCCCCTCTGAAAAATAAAAACTCTGGCCTATGTGAGAACAACCAAAATATTTTTTAATTTAAAATACTTTTGTTTGGTTGCTTTTGGTTTTGCCCCCTCTCCTCCTCCAGGCATTTTAACGAAACTTATCTACTGTCATTTCTCAAGGAAAATTACCTTCAGTTGTAATAGATTCAAGGCCTTTCTGGTTTTTATATTTTGGTTTTTGTTTTCAAAATAGGTTTTGGCAGGGAGTAAGGCATTTTTATGTCTGACAAAACCATGAAAACTGCCAAATTTGTCTGCTGTGTAATGTCAGAGGTTTAAATTGTGAGAAAAAGTAAGTGTGAAGCTTTGGTGCTGAGCCACATACGCTGACCCTTTTCTGTCTGTAAGTATTTGTTAAATTGGTCAGAGCTTTTTAGAAATTCAAAACAAAAGCCAAGCCAACAGGGGATGAACTGCTCTGCCTGACTAACTTATATTCCAGTACAGCCAACAGAATAGTACGGTCTTGTCAGTTTGAACATGAGGTAAAGTATTTCTAGGTAATAGAGGAACAAACTAATTTATTTAGTTAAGAGGAAACTAATGAAGTTGCTCTACGGATCAAATCTTTTAGGGGCTTTCCTGTATTAATACTATAGAAATTAGGATCTTGCTAGTTCCTCACAACAAGAAAACTCGAACTGGGAATGTTGAATTCTTTCAGATCTGAGAAAACGATCCGTCTGTTCCAGCATCCAGAGCCCTTATCTGGCCAGATTTATTGGTTAGTTGGTCAAATTAGTCTGACTGCCGGAGATACATGAAGCCCCAGGAAGCCTGACCTCATATTAAGGTGTAACTTGACTTGTAAGTGTTAAGAGGTGTTCTAAAATGATAAACACCAAACTAAATGCTAACACTAAATTAAACTCTAAAGCTGAAGGAACATCTGAAAAATATATTTGTGACTCTTGCTGTAGTTGCCAACACGGGACTGGAGAAGCATCATGGGTGGGTGTGTTTAAAATATGTGAAGCATCATAAACATATTTACCCTGAAGATAACTTTATTCATAGTAGGTTGTGTTGTTTTGTTTTGTTTTCCCCAGGTTTAACAATATGTGGGCACAACTGTCTGCTAACTGCCGAATGGATGTCTGCCAGTAAAATCGTGTGTCGAGTCGGACAGGCAAAAAATGACAAGGGAGATATTATTGTCACTACAAAGTCTGGCGGCAAAGGAACTTCAACTGTTTCCTTCAAACTGCTGAAGCCTGAAAAAATAGGTATTGTTCAAACTCAAAACTATTTTATTTGCTAAACAAACTTATGACTTAGTGACTTTAAATAAAATGTATGTTTAAAATGGATCCACCTCAGGACAGTCTTCAGTTGTCTAGAAAAAACATACTGTAATCAATACACCGTGCAAATATGTATAAGTTCGTGGTAATTTGTGAAATTAATCCTGCTTTCTCAATATCCTGATAAAAGTCCTCAATGACTAATGAAGCGTCCCTTTTTATTTGTAAGCAGGAGCACTGAAATTCTAAAATTTTCAAAAAGTTCATAACATCCAGTAATTATTCATATTGCTTTGAAGCTTACTAGATAAATTCAAGATAAACCAGTTCGTAAGCTTTACACCTAAATCCTGAGCTGCCTGTTGATCTTTAAATGAAAGCTGAGTTCTTGATGCCATTTCTTATTTGTAATTCAAACCATCCTGCAAGATGGAAAGTATGAAGTATTTTTGGTGTGACATTTAATCATCAAAATGATGTTGTCAAGCAGTCCAGGAACTCTGCTTTATCTAGAATCCAGCCTAAATTCATCCTCGATTTTAAGTGTTTCTTTCAGAACACCTCATTGATGAAGCTGGATTGTCATCTTTTATAAGATAGGGGTTCACACAAGAGTAACTATATTAGGCTTCTGCTCTCTGCAGTTCACTGAGAGTTAAATAAAGCCTATTTTCTTTCAGTCTGTGCTAAGATCTTACCAACAGAAAGAGGAAACATGAGAGAGTGGTGATGGTGAAGCTTTTGGTGGTGGAGAGGAAAATCAGTATTCAAAAAGAAAAAAACACACCAAAGTTTGGGACCTGGGTAATTTCTGACATTGAGTATCTGATGGGTGAAAAGAAGGGGATGATGAAAACTATGACTGGCCACAATTTTGACCAGGGCCAAACAACCATTGTTTTTTACCTTTTTCTATTGTCTGTGGTATAAGGCTTTGGAAACAAGGCCAGTCCTGTGTTCTCTGAGATGTTAAGTCATCCATTTTGTCATGTGGCCAAAGTAGACTTACTTTTTTGTTAATGAGTGACACAGAAAAGGGATCTTTCCTAAATTATGCAAATAAGAAGACATCCGGGTCAATGCTGCTTTTGAAAGCAGTAGATGACAAGGCATGGACAGGTAGCAAAGTGAAAATTACTAATACACTGTTATCAGGAAAATGCTCTTAATTTACCTGGACCTCTGCATACTCTAGGAGGTAATGTTTGATTTTCAGTCATTAATAACTTTTCAGTAACTATAAAAAAATAAAAACATAATTGTATCCAGGTTGCTTTGTCATGTATCTTCCAATATATTACCTAGGCATGCATTTTACATTTATCAGGATTTTTCAAATTAATTCAGTATGTTAGAATTTGATAGTGCTGGACAGCCATTGTTGTTTTAAGGATATGTGCTTTGTTTTCTCTAGGTATCTTGGATCAGTCTGCTGTCTGGGTGGATGAAATGAACTATTATGACATGCGCACTGATAGGAATAAAGGGATTCCCCCCTTGTCTCTACGTCCAGCTAATCCGCTTGGTATTGAGATAGACAAGTGAGTACCAAATGTCTTTAATACACTTTTTTTTTTTTTTTTGGCATTTTTCTCTATATATGCCTCTGTAAATTCCAGAAAAGTTTTAATGGTTTATGAGACAGGGAGAGATTTAAAAAAACATGCGTGTATTAGCTGATGGTATATTTGGGACTCAGAAGAGTTGATGAGCAACCATGTCCCGCTTCATAATCCATATTTTGGATCATCAATTAAAACTGTAGATAATCTAAAAGCCTGATATATTGAACTGCAGTGATGTTTAGTTACAAGGATTGGTAAATAACCTAAGGCTTTGGATTTATACATTGTACTTATGGAATACTTACTGTTGCGTCTGAGTTTCATGGGGCTTTTAGGGATGTTTAGATTGCTATCTGTTGCTAAAATTGCACTGTAAAATGTGATTTATTATACCACAGCAACTGGTTTATTTTATTGAAATATTAATACTGTTTTCCAACCCACAGACTCCTTTACTTTTGTTCGTAAGTATGGTGAACTTCATGACTTTTTTTTTCTGAAATAGAAACTTTCTAGTAAGTGATAAACAGAATCAGAGGGCTTAGAAAAAGACACTGTTAGGACTCTAGACCTGACCAGCTCATAGAAATAGCATCAAGATTATTAGTATTTCCCTTGATAGAGATAAGACCTCTACCAAAAACAAAATAGATTTAAAATTACACTGTTACTAAGGCTCTCGTCCTCTAAGTGGCCTGTTTATGAGGAGGAGGGAATCTGTGATTTCATTTATCTGTCTTCTCCTATGGTGGAGGCTGTGAATGATGTCAGAATAATTTCTTTTTCAGAAGGGTGGGGTAGTGTAATTGTGTACTTCTGTTGTAAGAAACTCCTGGTATAATTTTTGATGTCCGAGGTTTGCCAGTGTCTCTATTAATAACTCTTTGTAATCTTATTCAAGCACTGTCACTTACTACTTAACACAATAGACAAAATCTTCTATTTTGTTCTTAGTGACTGAGTTCAGTTGTCCCCAGATCTGTGTAATGCCTGAATCATGGCCCTTTTGAAATCTTGACAGTTAAAGATTTGAGTCTGAATTCGTGAAGCAGCATGGCAGACTCCAAGAAGTTCAGGACACATGAATTTCTTGCTTTTTGTTCTTACGCTCATTTGTACCCAGTGGCAACAACCATGTGAAGAGATTCATAGTACTGAAGGCTAGGGAAATTGTTAAAATATTTGATCCAAAGTCTTCCCAGCCCAGTCTTTTTTTAAACTTCAGTTATTTTTGCATCAATCCGAACAATTTGTGATTGTTTTACTGCTTTCTCAGAAGGTGTCCGGTCTTGATTTGAGGGCATCACATTGAAGAAAATCCAGTGTCCATCATTAACCTTGTTCTGAGGGGAAATAGCCCTTTTTTCAAAATCTGTATAGGATTTATAGTGAATCTGTCATCATCTTCTAGACTCTGGTTATGTATTTCTTTCCTACTTGAAATACATATTTTTCTTTTCAAGTGCTAAGTCATTTTTTTTCTAATAAGCTGAAGATGTTGTCTGTTGTCGTTCTCAACAGCCTCTTGGCCTAGCTTCTTACAGACGCTTCTTTCATCTCCTCTTATTTTACAGTCCTGTTAAAATGGGGACTCTAGAACTGGACAGTATTCCAGAGCCTTACGGGAAGGCTTCTTGTGTCTGCCCCCACCTTCTGTCCCCTGTTTGTAAATTCAAGAAATGAAATAATCCTTTTTTAACATAGTGCTACATGGGGAACTAGCAATGAAGTATTTGTTAGCTAATTCTCTGAAGTTGCTACTTCTGTTACTGTCATGGCCACTCCTTACTGCGTAGGCATGATCTGGATTCTTTTATCTTAGCTGTATCCTTTTACATTTGACACTGCTCTGTTTGTTGCTTCCTAGACAAATTGGTCTTCTCAATCCAGATGACAGAGTCTTTTCTTTACTTAACATTTTCACCAACTAATAATACAAAAATGTTGGTGATAAAGTTAGCAAATGATGCAAATACAAATGAAAAAGTAGCGTGGGCTATAATAAAGCTTTACCTATGGATTTTCTCAGGTTTGCTTCTCCACTGCTTGATTTGCTTCTTGATGTTACTGGTGTTTTTTTTTGTTGTTTCGTAATTAGCTAGTTCTTTGATCCATGTGATACAGTCTGTTGGCATTGCCAAACACTAGCGTGTCACGTCTCATATTTTTCAGTGAAGCACTTAATCTTAAAGCCTGTATGATATTTTTTCAAATATTGTATGAAACATTTGTGACTGACATTAAAAGTATTTTTCTCCTCTTTAATTTTCTGTTTGTTGAATGCCCTGTAACAGCTTTTCTGTTATTTTATCTGGAATTTAAGTCAAGGTAACTTTAAGTTGGTTCTGTTGCATCAGTCCTCTATCTATGTGTTTCTCACGAGAATTCTTTCTGTAAATGCATTGGATATGACAAGTTCTGCTTGTTTTAAGAAAACTTTTAATGTAGTACTCAACTAGATAACCAAAATTAACAGTTCTTACAGTCATGACAGCATGAATTTGATAGATTAAGAATTATCTCCCAGAAAACTGAAGAGAATCAGTTGAGGATTAGTTTAATTCATAGTCATTAGTTTGGACGTTTGTTAAACAGGAAAAGAAAAATACCATGTTTTAGAAGTTTTATCTGGAAGCATTAGGGAATAAGCATGTTAATGAAACCTCAGGTTTTGCATGAAAAAGAAATGAGAAAAGGAAGTCAGAAGTATGTAAATACAGGTAGAAAATAAGAACTCTGGAGTGGGGTTAGGGTGGAGTGGGATAAAGAAATACTTGGGGAAGCATTACATCAAGCTTTGTTTCTTGTTTATTCACCTCCAAGTTCACTGGAGGTGAAATATGAAGATTATGGCAAGCACTGCTGTTGAAAACGACCAGTTTGAGAGAAGAAACACTAGTCAATATTACGAACAGTTGTGGAGAGGGAATGAGAATTAGATCATGGAGGCGGGAAAGATGTGAAAAGCCTGGGCTGCTCATGTTCTGTGGGTAACAGCATAGTGTTAATAGTAAAGACTATATATATATAGACGGAACATCTGCATGTAACTTTAAGTGTTTCCCCAATTGATTTTTTTCATAATTTTTTGAAAAATTGGAGCAATACAGTGTTTACTTTCATAAAATAATCTTTAATACCACATTGTTTAGTTAAACATGTTTGCAAGTACTTGAAGTAGAGGATGGGTGAGGAGGGAGAAATATTTTACAAGGTAGTGAAAAAAATGCAATTATAAATTAGGGAAGTTTATAAGTAGGCTATTAGCATTAATCATTACTAGGCATGGGAATAGTTTATCCCTAGGAGTGATAAAAATTGTTGGAAGCTTGGGATGCTTTAAAATAAAAGCCTAATATGATAAAGAATAGTTGTGTATAAAAGGAGATTGGACTATAGTATAGTGGATTTCTCCTTTGATAATACCTTTGGCTTCTTTAAACTATTTTTTTAATGTGTGCAAATTGGGATGTACTTTCCTTTTGAGGCTGAAGTGTTTGGCATTGGGCTGACTTGGTGGGGTTTGTAACCCCCTGCCTTGCAGCCTGATCGCTGATAAGGAAAGGAGTGCCATGTATTGGTCATACAAACATGGTAAACAAAAGAAGTACTTAAGGAAAGGATCAGAGAGAAAAACAGCAGACCTAAGAAATTGGGATAGGAAAAAGCTAGAGGGGAGCACGCTGAGGAGCAGGCAGGAAGTGAGTAGCCTACACAGAGAGAGAAAGAAGTCCTTCCAGAAAGTGGTTGTCAGTCATCAGCAAATGATACAGAAAAGACATCCCAGAAAGAGTTAGATCACCTGTCCTGTGAGGTTTATTTTGTTTTTAACATAGATTGTGCTCAGTTCTAGAAGTTGCGTTTGTGGGCTTTTAAATGTTTATGATACTCAATCCAATTAAAATGCATTTAAAATTTAATCATAGTGTGTGAATTACACAGCTGGGTACTTACTTTTCAAGGTTTTGCAAATGGGACACTGAAATACTAGAAAAAAAGTTCCATAACAGAAGTGCTTAGTACAACATTTCATTAAACTGTTAGGTGTTCGTGGGGACAAAAACTTTATTCTAGCTCAGTAGGCGTAAGGTTGGAGTTTAATTTTGAGTGACTGGAATTGAAAGCATACACAGAATCATCTTTCAGCTTGCGAGCTTAACAAATACTAAGTATTAATAATTTCTACCCAATAAACCCTTCATGTTTTACAAGACCTAATTCCTGTTGCTGTGCCACAAAAATAACTTGAAAAAAAATGAAGGGGAAGAAAAGGAATATCAGTTGCTAAAAAATGAAATGAATCATATTTTAATGAAACTATATCTTGCTGGTTACAAATCACCATTGAAATGTAATCAAGTCACAAATGTGTTAATAGAAGAGTGTTTGCACACGTTACTGTCCTGTACACTTTGTCCATGGTTGTATAATTCATAGCCTAGAACAAAGAACTGATCCAGTTTGATGAAGTTTTGTTACACTGCTATCAGTTAGTGCACATTGTGTGCATGCTGTGAAGTACTTCCTTCACAAAAGAAAACAGGTATTTAAAATATGTAATCTTTGAGTTCTAGTTTATTAATTTTCAGGGTGTATTAAGGACTTAGAGCCTTAGTTTTCTACCGCCATCTGGCTTTAAGTGCAAAGCAGGTCTGTGCCACCCTCCACCCCAAGGAATATTCCTGGCTGTGGTGTTAGGGAGATGTAGCCAGAAATCCTTACAGGAGACTTAAATAGCTTGCAGCAAGAAAAATTGTACACCGAATAGTAACCTCAATCTAAGAAGTGTGGAAAGTTGGCATGAAAATACTAACAGTAACAGCTATGTTGTAGTGCTTGGGTTGGTGCTCACAGTTTGGGATGGTTACAGGACGGGGCTGGTAGGCCGCATCCTGACGAGGATTTTGAGCAGTTCTGGGAGACAATACACGAGACCTGCTTCCTAAGAGCACTGGGTGAAATCAGTTGGTGGAAAATAAAGAACTGTGTAAGATTTGTGAATGAACTGCTGTTGCATACACGTTTACCCTCTTGCACGGCAAGGCCTTGTTTATGTGCAAGGTTCCCTGCTTCCCCTACCTACTCTTGTCAGACTAAGTAACTGCAGGCAGACCTGGCGGTAGTTTGAAAAAATGTTGAGCATTGTTTGTTGTTTTGCATGTAGCAGAGGTCATTATGGTGGATCCATCTCGCACATGAAAGCAAACGCTGACATGCTAAGTACATTCCACATACTTCTACATCCACCCACTCAATACAGATGCTTCCCTCTTCCCACGCCAGCTTCCAAAACAGCTCGTCTGGCAGGAGGAAGAGATGATCTTACGCTGCCACCTAACGGCGAGCATCAGCGTGCTGCCATGAGAGGGGAAAAGACTTTCTGGAGGCTAGGATAATGTATTTGTTTTTAAATGGAGCGTACGGAAACTCAGCAATTTCATCCTTGAATGTAAGGGGCTCGTGGAAACTTTTTATCACAGCGACACCAGAGGAAAAAAAATGTGGAAACTAGGAGAGAGATGCAGGATATGTGTCACACTGTTATGACGCTAAAAGTAGAGTAACACTTACTGCTTATAAGGCTGATGCATCAGTTTCAGCTACCTACTTATTAATTTCTTCGTAGGTTTTTCTCTTCACATTCTGCCATTACTCAGATACGCTTGTCATTTTGCTGTCATATTTCTGATAAACCCAGCACTGCTAGAGAGTCACTGCTGGTGCGCATCCTTGTCTCTTTGCTGTCGGAGAGACCCTTGTTAACACCTTTTGATTCATCGTGTTTAGTCTACTCCAGTGTCCTCTATGCTGGCCTTCTTGCATGTATGATTAACGCAGCGCAGCTGGTCCTTAGCCTGCTTCGAGGAGTCTGGCGGGTACCAGACAGAGGGGGAGTGCACAACAGCCCTACTTTGAGCTTGTTTATGCTGGTTGGTATTCAGAATCTGTGTTTATTTAAAGTTGCTCCTTTTGACCTATAAACTCCTGTGGAACCGAGGTTCAAGTTACCTTTTGGTGGCTGTATCCTGTTCTTGGACCTGCCTTTAATCTGTGTACGTTGCCACGCATGCTGGAAAACATACTGTGAGACCCTGGGAGCAAAAAATCTTTACAGAAAACTTACAGTTTGCTAAGTTGCACTCATCGTCAAGCTCTGTTCATTTGTATCCATTTACTCAAGAATTCTGCTATTAAATTATGACTGGTCTGGGCTGTGATTTATCTGCTGAGATCACAGCTGATCTTAAACTGCTGGAGACTATAAACGTTCTGTATACGCACAACTTCTGTAGTAAAATTTGTAAGACCTGATATATGCTGTGATAGTTGAATTATCGAGTACTAGGCTATACAGGACCTAAGTTTGGGGTCGTGGAGGGAGGGACTTGTATTGTTGGGTAGGTGTGACAGAAGGGAATTGGTTGTGCCTGGTGAAGTTTGAATCCAAACTACATGTGCGTGCCCTTTATGTGGAAGCAAGGACCGTTTTGGGGTACTGCATGGCAGTATTAGGTATAGCTAAAATCAGTTTGAGGAATGTGAAAGTATACAGTGGCTTGAAACCATTTTTTTATTATAATTATTTATCTCATGAATATCAAGTAGTATGTAAAGTTTTCTTTTGTATTTTAAATTGTTTCTGATGATATTTTAAATAGTTCTGATGGATAAATAAGACTACTTTAAAATGTTAGCTAGAACTTTATTACCAGATCTGGTTTTGCTTTAAGTAAAATAGTCTGCCTAGCAGAAAGTATATAAATCCAATATGTTTACCCTTGCTGAAACTCTAAAGGTAGGGAAATGCGTAGTCTTCAAAGATGGTAAACTTACCTCTTCTTTTTTTTTTTTTTTTTTTTTTCTGGATTTATTCTCTGGTTGTAATTCCTTTTACAGTTATTGCTTTTTAATCAATGATAGAGTATTAAGAGTTGCTTCCTGAATTGACTTCTGTAGAACTAGCAAATCCACCAAAAATGATAAACAATTTCTTTGCGTGCTAGCATGAACTCAGCTTTTGCTACTAGTTCATGTTCACTCCATGATGTTGAAATGAGTAAAACAGAAATACTTTTCCAAGTCACATATGTGCTTGTTTATAAGTAAATGGTAAGCAAATTTTCATGAGAACAACTTCCAAGGACTTATTTATTTAATTTGCTAATGGAAGTTAATGAAACAAACTTGTGTGTGTATGGAGTCAGTCTCTTTTCAGATGCATCTGGCCAGACATTGTAGAAATACAGTCGCTTTCAGTTTGAACTTCTTAGTGAGCAGCTTGTTGTGAAGACAGCTGTAGCAAGTCATTTTGAGCTACCCATATCTGTTAGTGGAAAAACTACTGGTAAAATTTATGATTGAAAATAAGTGTAACATGCTATAGAGTATAACGTATTGTTAACGTACCACACACATTCACGTTCATGTTTCTACTCTGTTGTGACTATGTCTAAAATATGTCCAGACAGATAAAAGCACCCATAAATGCATTGCTAATTTATGGTTCTACACAAATACATCTGCTGGAAAAAAGCTCCCAATAACTTTTCAATGCAGTCAAACATCAAACTGAAAAAAAACTTTGTTTCTCTCGGACATTCTGTGGGCAAAACTCATTTGCAGGAATTTATTACATCCCTAGCTAAATAAGTGATCTTTATCTCAACTTACTTACCTTTTTTTTTTTTTTTTTTTCTTTCCGAGGAATTATACAGCTTATGTTTAAGCTTAAACTGTCATGCATATGTCTTGCAATCTCGTAGTAATAAGTAGTGTTTGGTGACAATATATTTGTTGAGTGGCTGTTCTTTTTGTGTTATATCTATTTCTGTTGGTTTCTGAGGAAATATATTGAAGGTCTGAAAAATTGAGCAAAATTCTGCTTCTGTATCGTGCATGTGCATTTATGTGGTACTTGCAGAAGAGTTCTGAGTCTCAAAGCAACAGTGTTTTTTTGTTCTTGTTGTTCTTGATTTTGGTTTTAGCATTTTAAAAATGTACCACATATGGATTTGATATAAAAGATTTTTTGGGCAGCCATGGGATATATCACATGTGAAATACTGTACTGTAAATTCTTGTGCCCTGTAGCACTTTTGAGTACTTTAAAAAATAAGATATTGTCCTAAAATGAATATCAGGCAAGAATAAATTAAAGTTTTCTTCTAGTGAACATTTTCTGCTCACTAACTGGTATTAACGAAGGTCAAGGTCATTGATAATCTTTAATCTCACTGTTTATGCTTATAATTTTATGTTGCATTATTGCTTTTTTCATTGAGCTTGGAGAAATATTAGGACCTTCACTGTTAGCTAGTGTGTTTGTTTTACACAGTTTTCCCTGTCTCCCTAATTCTCATATCTGTCGTTGCTTATCCTTGCGTCTCATTTGACCTTTTTTTTTATTCTTTAATGTGGGGAAAAGAGTTTTCATGGCCTTGCTGTAATCAGGTGCTAGTGATGATTTCTGTGCCATGCCCTTATGTATGTGGTCCTTTGTACCTGCTTGTATTAGTGGCCATTTGGGTATGAATAGAAACTTAGAGAAAACAACTTCTATTTCTGTATAATTGTACTTTTTAATGTGCCTGCCTTTAGATTTACTTCATTTAATTTGCTGTTTGCTTTTTGTTATAAAAACAGCTTTAGCCATTGTGAAATGTTTGGTTTTTTTCTGTAATCTAGACATCTTTCTAACAAATCATCGCTTCAATGTCCATTCAAATGGCTTTTCGTACATTTTAAATTAATTTCCAGTAGCTGATCCCATTTGCCAAGTTTGGTCCTAAATGCAGGGTACCACAAGTTTGCGTTTGTGTTTGACATTCTTTGTATAGCAGAGTTCACCAAACCTGTGAACATCAGAGAGGGATTTTATTGATTTTTGAGTTTAACTTTGTGATCGCCAAATTAAGTAATGCATTTTTAAACTACGTTGGCATGATTAGTTTCTGAAGATGGAATGCAGCTGGTGGTAAAGAACAGCGGTGCATGTACCTGGTGACTTATTAGGACTGAATATGGGCCAAGCGTTAAATGTGTGTCTGGACTGAGAGAAGAATTTTGTCATGTTGTCATCAAAAGTGATTTAACTTTTCTTTTTTTTTTTCACTGACTTAAAATGAATGGAATACATTTTCTGTTAGAGTATCTTAGAAACTACTTGTAGTTTCAAAAATGCCATTGCAGAGAATCTGCTTTCACAAGGAATTGGCTCACATGCTTTCTCCACGCAGCATAAGACTGAAGAAAAATAAACAGAACATGCTATTTTTCACTTGACACATGCCCACTTCTCCTTCGTGTTTTGTATACTATCAGCAGACAGATCAGTGTATTCTGTTTTGCAAGAGGATAATTTTAACCAAGGATTTTTATATGCTGGAACTATGCTGTGTCATCCTTCACATGTCCATTGGACTTCTGCTGCAAATGGCCCTATAGGCAAGAGATGGTGCAAGATCACTTACAAGCTGTCAACCTGGTTGGTGTCCTGTGGTTTTAAAGTTAGACAGACATAAGGGTCTCTGTATCATGGATTATAAAGAATATTCTCTACTTTACTCTGCTTGATGCAGTGATTTCCCCTTTTAAAGGATAGAGTTAACTTAGAATACATTCAGCATAAATGGTCCTGTGTTTGGATATTAGTAGTATTATAGAGTCTGTCCCATTTTCTTAAGACATCAGTTATCTTTCTTTAGAAACTTTTTGTATAGACAACACTTTCTTACATATGCACAGTGGTGAAATCAAAATGATACAACTAATTTTACTTAGATTAGATTTCAATCTTTTATTTCCTGGTCACATTATGTCTGTAATACCGGATTTATTTTCACAGTGAGTTGCAAATTTATATTTACATTTTGCTGGAACATGAGCTGTTATTTTATGTGACTTTTTAAATTGTGAGCTGTTTACCAGAATAAGTCTCACTGAAGAAATAAATATTCATTTTTCAGAGGCAGATTTCCTCAGAAAGATTTAGAGGCACTGTTCCCTGGGATGAGTGCTGATTTCACAAGCGAAAACTTCTCTGCTGCCTGGTACCTGATTGAGAATCATTCAACAACAAGGTTTGTTGCTATTATATAAATTATTGTGTTAATAACATCAAGCAGATTTGCATTTTCATTGTAAAGTAGATGTGTCATTGGTGATTGACATTAAAGTAATAGGCCTGTAGTCTGTACTGCCTGTGGTATTTCTGCGTGGGTAGGGACTTGAATCAACAAAGCCAATTCTCTCAGTGTGGATAGGAGAAGAACTTCAGTTTTAACCAGAGTTAATTTGTGGCTTAATTTTTTTCTGTGTAAGATGGCAGTTGTCTTGCTTCAGGCTAAACCTCCTTATGAACCAAGAAGTCAAGAAGCATGGCCTTAAGTGGAAACTCCAGGTGTTATCTTCAGTCATGACTATGACTAGAAGGTCAGGATGAGGGCACTGAACAGATTAAGAGTAAAACTCTTAGTGATATCAGTTAGCTTTCAGTCAACTCCTGTAGAAAATTCTACTGCAGAAAGAAGATGGACAAGTGAGTAAATCATTGGGGAAAGTCTTAAAATATTGATGATTCTTCATTTTTATGTCTATTTCATAATAATGTGTGCTTACAAGGATAGATAACATATGCATACTTTTGCACATACGAGTTCTGAAATTTGTCTGATAGTGTTCAGGTAATATTTGAAGCCATTTTTACTAGGGAGGATGAGTTCTTTCTGCTTGTGATTAGTGTTTTGAAAGGAAGTAAAACTGCAAATTTGTTTAATATTTTCTCATAATGGTAGAAACAAATGTGTGCTGTTGTTGTTTCTTTGGGGGGGGGGGAGGAGAGTTTTTTTCTTTAAGACCTCAAAAATGTATTCATTAATATGCCTGGTAAATAATTTGTTCTCAAAGAGATAATTAGTGGAGCCAAAACAACAGCAAGAGACCGTTACGGATGAATACATGATAGCACAATGATAGCATCTTTTGAAATCAGGTAACTACAAGAAGAATGAGTCAAAATTTACTATATTTACCACAACCTGATAACTTCTTCAGCATCCATTAGGTTTTTAAAAAGTTTGGGAGAAAAATTAAGAAAGAACAGACAACTTTTGATATAACTGTGTTTAAGAATTTTGCCTGAATCTTGGCCCTTTTGGTGCTCATTCAGTTGGGTACCGGTGACACTGCCTGGAGAGATGAAGGACAGATCAAGAGTGATTACAAAGTTCTGGGTACAAATGTGAAGAACATGGGAACCGAGGTATTTCCTTTTAATTACAGGTGAAGTGGAAAGGTTCAGGTAGTAGCGGATGCATCCTGTAGGTTCACAGCTGGCTGTAGGACTGGTTTCAGAGGCAGCATGTTTTGCTTCAGTAGTCATGGATCTTTCTTTAAAGAATAAAAACCTTCGGTGAGAAATGGGATTCAACTGAAGAAGTGGGGTAGGAACATTTTTGCCAGCAGGGTTGCAACTTGGTGACAAGGACTTTCACTTAGGTATATTAGGGGACTGTGGTAACATCTAGCAGTCAACTGAAGGTACAGCGTGCTATGTGTATGTGTGTCCTTGGAGAAGATTTTAACATAGCTAGTATTTGCTGGAAGGGTAACGTTGCAGGATTCAAGCAGTCCAGGAAGCTTGTGGAGAGTTCTTGGAACCCTGGGTTAGGCAACAGCAGCACAGACAAGGATCTGGTGTTTGTAACATGCCGTAAATACCAGTTGGCAGTCCCCATACAAATCATCTTCTGGGGTGTATCAGCAAGGCAAGGTTATGTAAGATATGGGGATAATTATTCTGCTTGGCATTATTTTAGCAGCAGTTGAAGTGCTCTGCCCAGTTTTGGCCACTGCGTTAAGAAAGGTGGTAGCTGATCACAAAAATAAAAATATATAAATGTCTGTGGGTACATAGCTTGAATGAATTTCGTGCTGGTAGAAAAGAAAGAATTAATACACAGTGCTGGTTCTGAAAGACGTAGTGGGCAGTTCAAGAGTAGACATCAATTGTTCTTGGTTTGCTAAGAATAGAACAGCTGGCTCCGTTTGCAGCAAGGGAGATCTAGGTTAAATACAGGTTAAAAATGATACTAGATTGCATAAGACTTGGAACCAAGCGACTTGGAAAGCTGCAGAATCACCGTCACTGAAGGCTGATGAGATTTGCCTTGATGGGTGCCTGTCATGGGTGACTAAGGTACCTTTAAAGGTACCTTAAGACATCCTTAAGGATGTCTTGGATCCAAAAAGTGGATTAGATAATTTTTTCGAATTGATTAAATGACTTTTATTACCATGGAATATGTAGAAAAGCATAATGTGGTGGTTATATCTGTAATATGGTAAGATGTCAGCAAAAAATGCTGATTTTTTTCTGGTCATCAGTACTATGAACTGATACATTAGCTTGTATGACCCCTTTTTACCTTGTACTATGACAGTGGTTCAGTGCCTCAAAATCTGTTCTCACGTAAATGTGAGGCTTCCTGTTAAGAAATATTTGTAATATTTTTTTTCCAGTATCAGTTTAAGTTCTTAATCTTTCTGGGCAAAGAAAAGTCTTCGAATATCAACAGCTTCAAGTCATGTTCCCCTTGCTCTAGTGGAATAAAAAGGTTCACATTGATTTAGAAAATTTAAATTTAAGTCTTAGTGTTGAAGGTCCAAAAGCCGTGAAAAACTGTCAACAGAAAGAATGACTCAAAGGGTAGGATGAATCTAATCATGCATTGAATCTAATTATAATTTTATTTTAAGAAGCAAAATTGTTTTTTTCCCCACTTCAGAATGTCTAGTTTTAGATATATTCTGTTCTGTTGCTATTAATTGTTGAATTATCTTGCCCGTGTGATTTGTGCCGTTGTTCCAGAAATACACAGCAACGGTTTAGTTCTCGTCCTCTGTGTAACCTCAGGTATTAGGAGTGCTAAATGTGTGGTGTGCTGATGTTTTGGTTAGCTTATGTATGTTTTTTCCTTGAAGGAAGTTCTTTTTTAAGCAATCAAAATAACATCTTTTTTTTCCCCTCCCCGGCAACAGCCTGACAAATATAAATAAACTATTTAGACATACTATTAGATCATCAGATAACGTGAAATAGTGCTTAAAAAGAGGGACTATGCAGATTTTTGTTACTTTGAAAATGCTGCTGGTAAGTACTTCTTGTCTGCCCAAGTAGACTAATCCAGCCGTTGGGTAATGTGATTTCTGACCAGCAGATGGAAACAGGAAATAAAGTAAAATGATGTGACATTATAGGTATGAAAAGTAAAATGCCTGTAAGTGCACCAGTGTTTTTGTCTCCCAGCAGGTGGTGATAGCCTTCTTACTGCCTGATCTAAAGCTTGTTTTATGCTTGCAATCTTTTTCTAACACAGCTTAAAACAGACAAAATCAGTGCAATTGTTTTATATCTTTATTTCTTTCCTTAATTGTTTCTTTTCCTCTGCATTCAGAGGTATGGTGCACTTTTTCATGTGACTCTTTTGTTTTAGGGAGATGGGTTTGTCCTGCAGTTAGGAGAAAATACTTTTTTAAGAATGAAAATCATGAATTTGTATTTCTGAGCTTCTTTGTTGTGGTGTTTTTATGAGTCTCATCAATGTAACTAATGAGATCATATTGCACCGGCTTGCAAGAAATACAAATTTGAAATCAAATATAAACTGGTAATAATCTAGAAACATTAGGAAACCAAGACAAAAAGAAACATACTGTATAAATAACAATGATAAATTGGATATTAATATTGTACTTCAAAGCATCCTTCAAAAAAAAAAAAGTGGACTACAAATGAAAACAGAATTTCATAAAGCAGAAATTTGTTTCAGTTTTTCTTTATTGTTTTCATCAATATTCTGTTCAATTCTGAACTGCATTTGGAAACCAGAAATAAAAATATTAAAGGACTTCAGAAACTGGAAGTGAAAAGGTTTGGACTAAACTGCAGAGTTAAACATGTCATCATTAAAGAGACTTCAAACATTGCAGTAGTTGGTCTAGTATACTAAGTGTAGTGATTTATTATTGCATATTTAATGTAAAAAAGCAGTTAGCTAAGAGCAATATTGCATATTCAGAAGAATTTCTTAACTAATTTGTACCATAGAGAAGACTATTCCATCATAAGCAGTAGGAATTGCTTTTAGGATTAAAAAATTTTAAAAAGGCACAAAAAGATACAGACTACCAGTAAACTGTCATTCTCGGGAAGTAAACTTCCCGAGAATTAGTAATTACTCTTTTTAATAGTTTATGCAACAATAGCTGTCTTTATTTTCTAAGTAACTTGTTCTATTTATTCATTAGGTGACCTTAGTTGTTTCTTGAATGTCATGGTGGTTTTTTGTTTGTTTTCAGTTTTGATCAGCTCAAAACGGCTGTTGTGAACTTGAAGAAACAAGCTAATAAGAAAAATGAGGGAAGTCTGGCTTATGTGAAAGGAGGTCTCAGCACATTTTTTGAAGCACAAGATGCTCTGTCAGGTAAATTGTACTTACTAAGCATGCTGTAAGAGAGAAGATAGTAACTACACATATAGTTGGATTTAACGTTAAAAATACCGTTCTTTGCAATTTTTTCTGAAAGTGTATGAGTCTGAAATCTATGTTATTTTGATCACAAGCTGGGACTGACTAGTTTATTGTTGCAGTGTATTTGCAAATAATCACACCAAAAGTATTAGACAGGAATTAGAGGCTTTTGTTGAAGCTGTATATCCCACAAATCCCGAAAAGTGGGGAAATACGGAACTAGATATGATACTAAGATGATTTACAAACTATAGCAACATAAAAGTTTCTGTTTCGTGTTGCCTTATAGTTAATTGTAATATTTATATACATATTCAGTGCACTCAGATTTAGGAAATCAACCTTTATATTCTGCTTACTGTAGGGGAAAATGCAGCTCTGTAGTGAGATTACATTAGTTTTCTGTGCCATTTTATATATATATATATATAAATATGTATAAACTTGTGTGTTTACTTAAGGCATAAAATGTCTGTGGACTAAGGATTGTGTTGGCTAAGAAATTGTCTGTGCAGGGCTATCCCTAGTAGGTTTGACATTTACTATTACGCTGTATGCGTGTATACAGTACAATTGCTTTGTATTTCAGGATTACCACTTGTGATCCTGTGTTAAGGGTACCGTGGAATGAGTGAATTTGGATTGATCTACTCATAGCCTCAGCCAAGCTAGCACTTCTGTTGGGTTTGGGAGCCCTGCTTTGGATAAGCACTGGTTTTCTGTTGAGCCACTTATAGACCACTCACTAACCATCTGATAGCCACTTTTGACTTTCAGGGTGAAGGGAAATCATTATATGGCATTCTCTAGCTAGATCTTTTCAAGGAAATTTTTATTAAATTCTAAGAATGCCCATTGGTAGTAGGCTATTTTTTGGAGTAGTCTTCAATATCTTGAGAATCTGAAATGCTATTTTTTAAAAATAGTTCAAAAACATAAATAATCTTGAACAAATACTGAAATGTGACCTTTTTTTTTTTTTTTTTTTTTTTTTTCCAACCAAATCTGCGTAACATATAAAGCTATTAAATACTCTAAGGTTCAGAGTTCTATTTCCCAACAGTTACTGCTATGGGAAAAAAAAATAAGTGCTGGTGGGCATACGTGTTACCTTGTAAGATTATTTTTTGGACTAGCAAAGGCTTAGTAGGATTTACAGAAAGCTAATGCAAACCATAAGTGTTGTGACTTTTTAGGAAGAGCAAATTAGTGTTTTTTTTGTTTTTTTTTTTTCTTGTCCCATTTTTAAATGTAGGCTTCTTGCCTCTGGAAACTGATTGCCTGAAAAATTGAGAGGCCAGAGAGGTAGCTGGAATATAAAAAACAATAATAAAATGATAGGGAAAGCAATCTCATTTATTTCACTGGAAATGCTTTGTTCTGAATTTTTACAATGGCAATAGATTTAATACTGTTTTGCATCTCTCATCTGTAACAGTGTTTATCTAAAATTAGATTTCATCCATGCAGTCCTTCAGATGAATTATGCACTCAAAATGGGATGACTCGTGGTTCTTGGTGCCACTTTATGTCTGTAACCAAAATGGCTTGTTTTGTCTTTCTCATAGTGATCTCCCTGAAGTATTCAAAAGGAAGCAGACTTGTATCTTGTGCTGTTATAAACAGTGTGTTAAAATAGTGCTAAGAGAATGACCTTGATGTTGTCGTAGAAGAAATTTAGAGACTTGAAGTCTTAATCCCTTACACGTTCACAGTTAAAACACTGGAGTTCAAGGAACTTTAAAATCAATGTAATATTTAGTTCTCAACTTCTGAGACCACATTCTTAATGAGGATGCATTACAGGTCACAGCTTCCTTCTAAAGTATTTTAATATGCATTTCTCTTTTGAATTTTTCCATTAATTGCCCATGCAGAAAGGGGTTGGATTCTTTTCAGTCTAAAAAAAAAAGAATGTTTTTGAGGGAGTCTAGCTGGAAAAAATGCATATCTTTTGAGAGAGTTGTACCTGTGAGAGTTAAAAGCAATAGCTAAGTTGGATGAGGAGAGCGTTCCAGTGGCAGCAAGAAAAAAAGGGATATCATTGACACCATCACCCAGCCCTCCTGCCAGATGTCAAGGCTTTTCTCCAAAACATTTGGTCACTGCATTTTCCTCAAAGAAAACCTGAAGAGAATTCAGCATAAGCATTATTAACGTTGCTCTGAAGAAACAGCTCTGATGGAAAATTAAAAAAAAAAAAAAAATAAATTAATTCTAGGTATGCAATTAAGAAATTCACGCTCTTTAATAGGAGAAAATTAAAAGTCCTATTATACTGTGGCTTGACAGCAGTCGTATGAGACGATATCATGCTGTTTTCCTGCCTGTACAATGGTGAATTTGTGTGTTTTATTTTCTCCTCTAGAAAGATGCAACTAGAATTTGTAAACAAAGCTACATCAAGAATAGTTTGTTTGAAAGCTGAAAGCTGGCTTCAACACAAACTCTTAGGGACACAGCCTTGGATCTGTGAACTTTCGTTGTTTGTTGCTGAGCATACGACTGTTACGGATGAGAAGTGACCGAAGGGAAGATCATTACTAATTATATCTATATGAGTCTTCCAGGGTAGTTTAAATGTCCTGAGCTGCTTGATTTGGGATTTTAAGGGGGTGTGTGGTTTTTTGTAATATTTGGTTTTTTAATTCACTTCTTTAGGGAAGATATTCTAAAATCTCATGTGTTTTCTGAAGATACATTTCTGTCGGTGGGGAGAAACTTAGGCACTTGATTTTCCTCTCTAAATATCGTAGAACACTTTTTCCAACCCCAATGATTATGCTTTATAAACTCTAGGTCAGCTTCATTTCTCTGTGGGATTTTGTCATTGTAAATCAGAGCTATCCGAGTATGGTTGTTTCTCCTAGTTCTCCCTGAATTGGTACAAGATGTAACTTTTTTGTAGGAAGATGATTTTAAAAAGTATAACACTTGCTTTACCAAGTGTTTCATATTCATCTATTTGCACATCTTTTATATATTTATACATGCTTTTAGAACTCATACGCTGTTAACGTTTACTGCAAATATATGAAATTGATCAAGGGAATCGCTCCCTTTTTGAGCAATTGAGCAGTGAATTGCTCACTTTTAGTGTAGCTTTTTTTAATAGCAGGGATCAGTGAGATCAGACTGATTTTTGGTGTGCCATCAGACTACAATACCCGTTTATTTTAGTTTTAATATTTTCACAAGCATGCAATGAAACCCATAAAACGTTATGCCAGGATGCTTATTATACCGTGCAAGTTGAAAGCATTTACTAAGAAAATAAGAGGTCAGATAGGCCAGAACCCTTGGTCTGATTTCTTGGAAAACAGAATTGCCTTATCAGATCTACGCGTCTCGTTGTCTGTTAGCTTGGCTGACAGTTTGACAGTGACTTTGTCGCAGAGGAGATGTTCAACAGGAAGTTTATTTCGTCAGCCGAAGGGAGCCGAGGGGAACTGGGCTTACCTCAACTTGATCCATTTGTCAGCATCAGGGAGTTCAGCTGATTTATCTCCCGTAAGTCTAACCGCAACCTAGAAAGCAGCATTCCTAAAGGGGCTACTATTTATATGCTTGGAAAGATGTAATGTTTTATTGTCATGAGCAAATCACGTACCACACAGAAGTCTCTGGAAAGCTAGAAAAATAATTTATTAATATACTTTTTCAGAAGTGCTCCTTAGAAACCCTAGTCTCCACAGTTTCTTCTCATTCAAGCGACAGGAGGAAAATACGGAAACAGCCACTTGAGTTGCTCAATTATTCAAAAACATGCAAGTATGACACCCATATTGGCAAGCAAGGACGTCACTGTACTTTCTTTGAAACACAGATTTATTGAACAAATTTGAGGTCTAGTTTTGATGCTCTAGTTTGTCATGGCAACAATTCTGATGCAATTACAACTACAAAAATTTCACGTGAGAGACAAAACACTGCTGGCTACCACAGCTCTATTCCATTTTTCCCCTTTCCTCTCTTGTTCAGATACTTGGCCTGTGGGAAAGACTATTTGATGGGATACTTGGACCGTAAGTGTCCTTCTGTCTAATATCTTACCTAGTATGTAAGCTGGGGTAGTGCTTACCTGTCTGAAATGATCCTAAATATCTGGTCAGTGCCTCTTGGTTTCTTCCTATAGAAATATTTTTGCATTTCAGTGTGTACGGCCCATTTGAGGATGAGAATGTCAGTGATGCGGGATCTGATTCAGTGTGAATAAGCATTTTCTGTTGGCGTTATGTCTGCTTAATACAACTCTTCTGAAACTAAAACAAAAGAAATGACCACATCTATATTCAATTCTGAGTCAGACTGGGAATTTGGGAAACTAAGAACTGTTTATCTGTCATATATGTATCTCTTTGCTTCTGTGTTTTAAAGTGTTCTTCAGAAGCAGGTCTTGATCATTCACATTTTTTGAACTCTGGGGTACTGGAAGGAATGAGGAGTTGTGTCATGTGAAAAGAGTCCCTACAGCCAATTTTTGATTAGTGATTCTGTTGGCAAATTAATTAGACTGACTGACTAATGTTGAAGTGTTTTTTACATCACTAACTTCTTATCTCAGTTCACTCTTCGATTTTGTCCACCTAAATGCTAATCCATGACTGGTTTTGTTGAGTGTTACAGCATCAGACTGTTGCACCAGATTTTGCTGTTGTCATGTTCCTGTTTTGTAACATCTACATGTAATTCACATTTTATTGCATATTGCATTTTCGATCTACTTCAGTCTCATATACATTTTCCCAAATGGCATGATTTTCTTAGACACGTGCATTTCATTAAACCAAATTCAAACACATGATGAGTATCTGAGTCCTATGCAGCTGACTTGTTATAGCTAGAATAGGTCTACACTGAGTGCTTTTGGTGTGGCAAATGTCTGTTAATGTTATTTTTGTCATCCTGCTTTCAGCAGTAACATGCAGTCTGCAGAAGGTAAGAACATTGCA